TCAAAAAACTCGCTTTAAATATAAAAAATATAAAATATAAATATGGTAAATACGGTGGCCTAGTGTGAGCAGAGGCCGGGGGCTAGAGTGAGCAGAGGGGGCGGGCTTGAGAACGGTGCGGCCGGCGGATTCGACGAAGGAGCGTCCGGCGGGCTTGCGGCAACCACATGTGGAGACAATTGAAATCGCATCATATGACCCCTTTAAAAGTTAGGAAGGAACACGTCGTTTTATAGTTTTGTCTGACAAGCACAGTAAATTATTTCAGAAGTTTTGGCAGTCACACATACGGCCCTTTAGAGCTCATTCCAAAATGTACAATATCTTTGTTATTTCAAGCCTTACACAATTTTTGTCCTGCATTCTCCTCAAAAGATGGGAATGTTTTTCCCTATTGTTTTGGTGAAGCTATGATACAGCTGAGACTACCGGTTGTGAAGAGGCCAGAGTTTAAAGTTCACTAATGTGTGTGACTATGAAAAGAGAGAATCCGGAGAATCCTTCAAAGACACATAGGGAGGCTGGAGGGGATATGCCTACACATGCACATGTCAGCTGTCCTCTGAATTACTACTGTAGTGCATCTGCAGCTCTTTCAGTGGTCATCATCATAAATACTACATGTCTGAAACTGACTTTGAAGTTCTGGGGGCTTAGACTGGTTAGTGCTGTAGCTTTGCACATTTCAAAGCGCTTATTTAATCAGGTTTGCTTACAGAATAAATGTTTTTGGTTTCAAAATAAATACCTCTAGTACATGACTATGTTCAGCCTGCTTCATTTTTATGATACAATGGTTCACGATTCACAGATGTAACGTCACTCTCATAGTGCCTCACATGGTTTGGGGGTTAGACTTTTTTTTTTTGGTTGCTGGTTGGATTTAAGAGGGAGAGCATAACTGAATTAGCATTTCCACTGTTTGTGTCTGTCACCAGCCTCTTGTCTCTACATGTGGTGCTGTGCTTTGATGCAAAACGCAATGCATTTTAAGGAATAAGATCATTAAATGTGTTTTCTAACAGTTCTACTTCTGTCAAGTTGAAACTATGTAACTTTTGTCATAAGCTCACCTTTGGTCTTTTTTTGGTCATATGCTGTGTACATCAAGAGAAAGTTGCAAGAAATTTCATGGGCAGAGGCATTGACAGTTAAGCATTAATGCAAAGTTATGTATTTATGTAGACGTAATTATATTAAGGATAAGTTATTATATTCTCAGAGTAGGTCTGAGTTGGCACAGGTGATTTTTTTTATTTTTTATTCATTGGACTCTTTATTATTAATGACAAAGCAGCTGATGTAGCGCTTCAGTGTCACATTGTCTATAGTCACATCCGCTTTACTCTGGAAAACTATGGCTGCTGTTATGACAGTTGTGCCGTTTCCTGTTTCCCCACAGGCTTCTCCAAACAACATGAGGCTTAGATTCCTCCAAGAGCTGGACATCTATGGTTCCTCTCTCCTCTCATCCCAAGGCAGAGGGGCTCATTCCTGTTTCTGATCCCAGTAATTCCCCCCTCCCCAAGTCTTTCCCTAATTCATGAGCCAGCAGGATGCATCATCTGTGCGAGCCCTCTCTGAGCGTCTCCTCATAGCCTCGCACAAGGGCCAAGCTGATCATGTGGTTCAGCTCATCAACAAAGGGGCCAAGGTAGCCATTACCAAGGTGAGTAACATGCTTTAGTAAACGTATATTATATATATATAGCAATATACTGGGTTCAGAAATCTGAGAGGTTGTCGTTCCACCATCTGTGTACATGGTAGAGCGAATTCCATTTCTGTACAGGTTTTGGAGCTTATTTGCATAAAAACATTGCATTTCAAGAACGTGGTCTTGTCCCAAATCGCACATGTGCCTGTGAAGTCCATGCATTCTTCATAAGGAAATTTAAGGCAATCAGTTTCCTCAAATTAAATGAGTTAACTCGGCGCATGGTATTATTAGTCACTTACTGTAAACTGTTTTTACAGTACAATTGAAATTGGTGGGGGGTTTTTTACAGTGAGTTACTGTATTTTTTTTTTTTACAGTGTACTAATTAACAACCAGTATGCATGCTAATATGCAGCTAGCTAATAAGCAAATAGTGAATTGGCCCCTAAAATAAAGTGTTACCGATAACTGATGCACTGCGTTTTTCAGAGGGAAGTGTGGCACTGTGTTCAGTCAGTGTATACGTTGGCGGCTTATGATCCGGTATATTCAGATGTATGATGATAGATAAATTCATATCTAATTCTAATCTAATTTATAATGCAATCTTGTAAATATCATAAATAAATAATGCGAATTCAGAATTCTGTTCTGTGAGTATAGAAAACAACCACTTTGACAATTAAGGTTTACATAAACTATCAATATATTTTTAGGGAGGTTAACAACATTGTGCTGGACCAGAGCTCTGAGTCTGTTCCCCTCCTGCCATCTGGAAGGTGGTACAGACATAACCAAGCACATACCTCTGGTCTCTTCCCCTGCATTGTTACATAATCACTACCACTAGTGCTGCACAATATATCCAATTTCAGAATATAAAGAACGTTTTGAGCGGTTGCACTGTGCCAGTGCTTAAAGGGATAGTTCACCCAAAAATGAAAATGTGATGTTTATCTGCTTACCCCCAGGGCATACGCCCATGACAGTTGGACATAGTGGTGTATTAGAGGTAAAAAATTATATAAATACTGTTCGGTTTCTGGCACAAACCGATCGTTTCATGTCTTAGGACATCAATGTGTCGTCACGAGCCGCAGGGTTTAATTTGGATTTGTCTGTGCATGTTTTTTTTACTCTCATAGATTTTGTTACCATTGCCATGCATTATACGACTGATAGACTGCAACGGCTGGAGTTAAAAATCTCCGTTTGTGTTCTACTGAAGAAACAAAGTCACCTACATCTTGGATGCCCTGGGGGTAAGCAGATAAACATCACATTTTCATTTTTGGGTGAACTATCCCTTTAAGCAGTTTTACGCTCACCAGGTGTGACAGAAGCTCTGAACACACACAGTCTTGAATTACTGCTTGCTGTTTGTTGCTGCCCTTATACATCCTGGATGAATTGGACACTTTCTCGGTCTCTTCTAGGCGCTTCGCTCATCATGTGAGGTGATTTTAACATGAATCTAGACTACTTTTTTTTTTTTACACCTTTTTTTCATCCTGACCCCCTTCATGTGTCTGACGTCACTTCTTGATCTTATGGTGGTGTTAAAAAGGAATCTTTGGAGGCCTAAGATTACCCTACTGCACCTCTTCATTTTTTTTTTTTTTTTTTTTTTTTTTTTTTGCATGTCTGCAACTGCATCTGACATGAATTCCACCCTGTAATCAACACTTAATGCCCTCTGCCCTGTAGTAATAAAGATGTCTAACTTCAATTTAACCAGCCTACGGCAGCTTACTAGGTCATTTGGTTATTGCTCTCATACAGTAGTATACTTTGAACTCTTTGAAGTATTTCTATAATAGATAGCCTATACCAGGCTTTTTTTTTTTTTTAAATATGCTCTGATCAAACCCAGGCACTTAAACTTTATCCCTTTAACTTACCATTTTTTGCACAATAACATCAAAATGAGCTGGAGCTGTTAGTATGGCACCTAACAGGATGGAAATAAAAAGTTAGCCATTGCTGTAATTTTAATTACATAAATGAACAAATTAAACTAATGAAACTGCACCTGGAGTAGGGCTGCACGATTAATCGCATGCGATATTTAACGCGCAACTTGTCAGAAAGCCGGTTCTGTAATCAGCGGTAAATCTCCATCACGTGCGTGCTTTCACATTGAGCAGCATTAACTGATTACAGAACAGGCTTTCTGACAAGATGCGCGTTAAATATCTCATGCGATTAATCGTGCAGCCCTAACCTGGAGACATGACAAGAAAGAACATCCACTAAACCCAAACCAAAGTAGTGAAATTAATAAATTGTGATTTTAAAATTGTGTCCATTGTATTAATATGGGAACATGAAAATGTGCTACAAAATAGGAATGACCTCTCTGATAACATGCCATTTGTTTGAAAAATAGGACAAGGACAAGTAAGGAAAATATCACAGAAGGCCTACGAGCCATAATTGAGGCCAGGCAGCGAAAACAATCTTTATCTCAGAGTTAAAGGACAGATAAAAGGATAAAAAACTCCTAATATCTCACCGGCAACTTCAAACCAATGTTTTTATCTTTTATCTTGTGCATTATTGTTTTATATTGTGCTGAATATGTACTAACATTCAGGGGCGTAGATTACGCGGGGGACGTGTCCCCCCCACTTTTAATATCACGTAAATTCGTCCCCCGCACTTTTTCGGGCAAGTGTGTTCGCATAGAGGTTTTCAAGAGCCGGTGTGAATAAATATAGATTTAAATTCAAAGAGACAGGATAGTCTGTGCATGATCTGATGTTTTATTCGGACCCAGAATAAGGCGAGATGAACATCACGGAGCGCTAAACATTCCGTGCATTTATGTTTCATTCATACTCGAAGCCGGAGGGCACTCTGGCGCAGAAAGTCGAATGAGGAAATTCCTAATATGGACAAAAGCGTCCAGCTATCGCTGTGTGAAAACAGTTGTTTTCAGAAAAATGCCCCTGCTAACATTACAGAATTGTTTATTGTCTGCTGTCTACACAGTTTTCTTTGCAGTATAAATATGGGTCATTCTGTGTCTGTCTATTCAACCAAATTTCAGAAACTTCACCGGCTTACAGTTTTAATTTTGTTAATATTTTTTCTGAAGAAAGATAAACCTGTATAATGATGAAAGCCAAAATATGAAATTTCATGGATAAATATTTACTGAGTGTTCCACTGTTTTGTAGAGGGAGGTCAAAATTACCATTTTCACCTGAGATTCAGAGCCAAATTACAGGGGGGTAAGAAAGATCCCAGCATCATTGTTATTTTTACACAGAGATTTAATTGACATTTACATTAACATTTAGTCATTTTGCAGACGCTTTTATCCAAAGCAACTTACAATTGGGGAATACATAAAGCGATTCTTCTTAAAGAGGCAAACAGACACAGGAAGTGCTCGTAATACCAAGTTTCAGGCATTTGTTCAAATAAGTACAAGCTAGAAAGGGAAGGAATAAATAAACCGAAAGACAACGTTTTTTTTTTTTTTAATTTAGGATGAAGTCAAGTAGCATTTAAAGAGATGAGTTTTCAGCTGTCGTTTGAAAATTGTCAGGGATTCAGCATTCCGGATAGGGGTGGGAAGATCATTCCACCAGCCAGGAATGGTGAACGAGAATGTTCTGGAAAGTGATTTTGAGCCTCTCTGTGATGGTACCACGAGGCATCGCTCACTAGCGGATCTCAGACTTCTGGAGGTGATGTAGATTCGTAGTAGTGAGTGGAAGTAGGTGGGTGCTGAGCCTGTGGCTGTTCTATATGCAAGCATCAATGTCTTGAATTGATGATGTGTGTGAGTGCTGGTAAGAGTGTAGGAGAGATTGCTTAGAGAAGGTGTGAGGGGATTGGGTCAAGAGGGCATGTTGTAGGATGGCTGGAAAGAAGTTTTGATACTTCTGCTTCAGTGAGGGGACAGAAGAAGAAGATGGGAGTTTTAGCAGTGGGTGTGGTTGGTTTGAGGTCCTGTGTGTGTGGGGCTGAGAATTGACTACTGAT